AGGATTTATTGTTGGCAAATGAAGAACAGGACTGGTAGAAAATAATTTCATTCATTTCTATTTAGGAGGTTATGGTTCCTGCAGTGGAAACATCCCTGCTTTCTTCACTGGTTGGTTCTCGTGATGCCTTTTTACTTTTCTAAAGATGGAAAAATCAGTAATGATTACAAGTTGTTTTTCACACTGATCACATTTTTTTGCAACATGGATTTTCTTGCATCTCCAGATTTAAACATGATTTTAATGTGTTTTTTTTTTTTTGTCTGGACAATACCTGACATGTGCCTGTCCAGAAATGAAAAAAAAGAAGAAGAAAGAAAAACAAAATCATTTAGAGCTTTTTCTTCTGAAATTTTAATTCTTACTCTGGTTCTTGAACCATTCTTCATTGTCTTTGAACCTGATGATTACTGTCTTGATTTGTGGTTTCCAAACTAGGGAGACAGGCTTTACCTGGGGGCACAGATCATTTACAGCGAGCAGGGGGGATTGCAGCGATGCAAGTTAGTTTCAGTATTCTTCTTAAACAGAGGAGAACCTGCACTGATTTTTTTTTTTAATTTCTCTGTTCGGTGTGAATATCAGTTTGTAGGAATGGTTGGAATGGCAAAAATGGTTTGGTAACCACTGGTCTGGATTAATGAGTATAGTTTCTCGTCTATGAAGAAGAAAGGATTCCTTGTCAATTCATCAAAATTCCTTTTTTTTAAAGAAATATTTAATTTTGTAATAACTTTTTTGTTAAGACTTTTATTTAATGTGACATGGTTAGCTTCATTATTGGAGTCTTTTATGTGTCAAATTAGATTCAGATTTCAGTGTCAAACATGATGTCAATGAAAGCCTCAACTCAGTTTTTAGTTCATTAGAAATTGGATGATTTACTTTTCTTTATCCATACTAAGCAGGTATTTATTTTTACTATCCATGAGCCACAAATGTCAGGAAAATTTTGGGCAGATTTATTTAGGGCAATTCCTCCAAAAGTTAGATTGACCTTAAAGTCTTTGTCAGCGTTCCTTGTCCAAACGCACACTTGAACTGTGCAGAACAGTGCTCTGCTTCCTGTATGTTGAGATTGCTTGAATCCATGTGCATTTAAAGGATGTTCCTTTCAGATGTGAACTTAAAACTACCAACATAACAGTTTCATTTGACCCAAATTGGTGATAAATGCATAAATACAATTTTTGTTTGTATTTTTCCATTTTATGTTTGGTGTTTTAAACCATATTTATTTCATCATACAAGTTTTATCAGTAAGTTGACCAGAAAGGAATATAATTAAAAAACAAATTAGGTTATTTGGGTACTTATTAAAGAATCAGTGTGGCCAGTGATGCCTGTACTGTCTTATGAAAAAAAGATAACATGTAGCACCTGGTCCACAGCAACATCCTTGTGTTAATGTTGATGCAAATTAGCTGCAATTCCCTCCATAAACCAGTGTTCCCTTTTCATTAACGCTTGTGGGATTTTTTTTACTGCCTTTTTACAGACTGAAAAAGTGACATGTTAGTGGAGATTATGGTGGAACGGTAAAAATGTACCAGGATGAATTCTAGAGAAGAATGTATCAAAAGGCCGGAAGTTGTTTGTTTCAGCTGATTCCACTTCACTCTCTGTGTTAGGAGACAAATATAAGCCATGAAGCCGAGTTGTTCCTCAGGTACTGAGAAATGGAAGGAATCCTCACCAATACTATGTAGAAACAATGACAAATTGTTTGGTTAAAATTAAATTACAAGTGGGAGAAAAATGTCGGGTTTGAGGGACTGTTACTAATTGACTACGTTCTCAAACGTTGCTTTACATTAAATGTATTTATTTCTATCCTGATCTGTGAGTGCGAGTGCGAAAGGAAGCGGGTGTCCGTTGTGTTCAGTTTTACTCTTAAAAATGTCAGTGATTTGCATGTTTCCAGTTTTGTAAGCACATATTTTGTAAATGTCTCCAGTGTTAAGAGTTACACATACATGTTTTTACAGACCTGCATTAAAATGAAGGGCGGTCTTTAACTGTCAAGTGGTTTTCATCATTACGAACCTGTCATTTAATATCTATAATAATATTAGGTTTAAATTTACATGGTTTTGTTATGTCTTTGACATCTTTGGTTTAATTTTTATGATTAATTATGAACTATGAAGTTTACAATCATTTAACTTGGAATGAAAAAGTTATTTGAATAATGCAGAAAGCCATTTTTATTAATTGGAGGAACATCTGGATTTGGAAAATAAAAATAGAGAAATGATTTCTATTAAAGGCAATACCTTCAAATTTCAGCACTGCATGATGGCATGTGAAATATTTGGCGATAAAACGTTTTTTCACATTAACCTTGCCTTTTCACACTTTTCCATGGCCTCGATTAAAAAAAACATGTATAGGGTGTTTATAACAGTGTTAATTTTTTTTTTATATGAATAACATGCATATTGCTAATGTTTATACTTTAGTTGACAAAATTACCGAGCTACAACAATTCTTAACAGTCGCACAGTGGGGAGAGTTCACTAACGGGCTCTAAAATTCAAATAAGGACAGGCAAAATCTATTTACAAATGACGAGTTGTAAACGTAAACTGTTTATTATTTCATTATGTATATTATTTTTATATTAATTACTATTCAATTCAATAACCACTTTCTTTTATTTCTTTCATCTTAAATTATGTTTATTGTGAAAAGAAAAATCACTTCCGGGTTCCTGACGTATGACAGTGGGCGTGGTTGGCAACGCTACAGCAGAGGCTATTCCTGCTCTGTTATTTCTGTTGGTTCAAATGGTAATGTACGATAACGGAACCTTAACTAAACTCAGACAGGCTTTAGAGGGAGGTCACTCGGAGAACAGTAGTTCAATTCTGTAAGTAATCTAAATTATCATGCACTTATATCTGTGACTGATAGCTGTGAGAAATGTATTATTATTATTAAAATATTTAATTGGAAACAGTCTGGCTTTGTCGGAAAAAGAAATAACACTGATTAGACTAATTTATTTTATTTTTTATGTGTTAACTCTGAGAGAAAAAAAATGAACAAATATTGGTGTGGTTACTTCGCATCACAATCTGCCGATACTTAAGGTGTTGGTCCGAGGTTCAAGTACAGGGTTCATGTTAAGGTCACTGACTGACGTTTGTACCTTACCAGGTATCACTGCTTCCTGGGAAAGAAAGTACAGTACCTACGTTTTATTTATGAATCTTACATTCAGAATTCGTGTTATTTTAAGGTCGAGGTTCTTAGTGAAACAAATACTCTTTCAACTGTTTATTGGATGAATGGTGTAATTGGATACAGCGAGTGTTTCGATGTGGCTCTGCGTTAAAATGTGTTAAAAAGTAACTTGAATAATAAAAACAAACTATTAATTTTTGGAACAACTTATAACTTTTTCAGGATATAGCAATGTGAAGATTTTTCAATAATTTTTCAGCAACTTTGTCAAGCATTTTTTCTTCCACAAAACATTGTTTTCAACATTTGTTTATTTAGTTTTAGGCTATGCTTATTGACCTCGGGTTTTCTTTATATATATATTTTTTTTTTTTTATTGGAAGAAATTTGAACAGAAATCAATAAAATGATGAGGCATAATAAAGTCTTCCTCACGTTTCCTTCTCAGAGTTATTGACTTGGCTTTAAACTTAACTTTTTTCTCAACATAAGAAAATAAGACAAACTCATCTGCTGTGTTTCTACTGTAGTTCTGTGTCATGAAGTACTGCAGTACTCGAGGTGGAGTCCAGGGATGGGAGTTCAGGGATGTGCTGTTCTCTGGTTACGCTCCAGACGGAGGGATGTTCATGCCAGAGAGTCTTCCACTGTTGACCGTGGAGACACTGAAGAGGTGGAGAGGACTGTCATACACCAGGCTGGTGATGGAGGTCTCCTCCATGTTCATCCCCAGCCACCAGATTCCCAAACAGGACCTGGAGGGTGAGCACAGCACACAGAACCATTAGGTTTGAAAATAAAGAAGCAGACCTCCAAAACTACCCCCAAACAACTGCAGGTCTTTCTTGTTTCAGTCCTAGTGGCTGAAGCCCTGTCTGGTTTCTCTTCACCTGATGTCGTCACAATGGCTCGGCTGAAGGACGGCCTCTCCGTCCTGGAGCTCTTCCATGGACAAACCATGGCCTTCAAGGACCTGGCTATGACCTGCACTGTGCGGTTCCTGAACTATTTCCTGCAGAAAGAGAATCGCAGAGCTACAGTTATTGTGGGTAAGAAAAAAAAAACACTTAAGTCCTACTCTTCTGAACCATAGCTAATACCACTGCCCACGACAAACATGAAACACAATTTTATACATGCTATTTATTCCTTATCTTGCCTCTTTTTTATTTTATTGCCCTTTCACCGTGGTGTCAAATTGTTGTCCTTTTCCTCTCCAGCCACCTCAGGTGACACCGGTGGCTCCGCCATTCAGAGCGCTAAAGGTCTTCGTGGGCTGGATGTGGTTGTGGTTTACCCACGAGGACGCGTCACTCCAGTCCAGGAGAAACAAATGATCACCTGCCTGGAGGAGAACATCCACGTGTTTGCAGGTAAAACCCAAACGTCGGTTCCATAGTGTAGCGGTTAGCATCCCTGCCTCTGAGAGCAGAGAATCCTGGGTTCGATACCCAGAGGAACCACATGCTTGGCGCCTGTTGGGGGCAGTCTGTTAACAGCATATCTGCTGCTAACACAACAATTTCCCAAATATTGGTTCAATATAGTACAAATACTACAGTAATGATGAAGATGATGAGAATAATGATAATGATGAAGATGTGGATGAGGATAATAGCGATTGTGATGTTTTGTGATTATGATGATGACAGTGATCAAATGACGATGTCACGGTGCTTGTGCGCAGCCGACGGCAGCTCCGATGACATAGACCAGCCTGTGAGACGGCTCTTTGCCGACCAGGAGTTGGTCAGGTCTCACAACCTCATGAGCCTGAACTCAGTGAACTGGTCCAGAGTCATGATCCAGCTGTCACACTTCATCTACGCCTACCTGCAGCTGAGCGGAGTTGAGAGGTGTGAGGCTGACGCAGCGCTACCTGAGATGGAGGTGGTGGTTCCTACAGGAGGGGCGGGAAACATCGCAGGTGAAAATCAATGAGCACCTAGGGGTTTATTGTTCATTTTATTTTATTGTTGTTTTTTTTTTTTAATATAACCTTTATTCTCCACCACACGACTGTGTCTCAGCTGGTGTCGTCGTCAAACAGATGGGTCTACCCCTGAAGCTGGTTGCCATGGTGAATTCTAATGACATTGTTCACAGGACGGTAACCACGGGTGACTTCTCCATGGCAGCCACAGTCACGCAGACCTTGGCCCCGGCCATAGACATACAGGTACCACTGTAACTCTTAGCTGTGATCGAGGCGACGTTAACAGCTGTAACAAAGGTTGTGTTGTTTCTCATATCATTGTAAAACAGAGCATGTTGGTGCAAAGGTGAACGACAGGATATGTTGACTTTGTAAGGACCACATCAAAAGTCCCAAGTGAAGTCCTAAAGGTTTTACATCCTTGGAATTATGTTCCTTTGTTATCTCTGTACCACAGTGCCTCTCAAATAGTGGGGCAACCGCGTTAGAGCAAGGGATCACTGTACTTGCTTTCAATGCAACTGGAATGCAGTATTATTACAAATGTGCTATGATTAGCTACTGCGTAGGTTGCGATACTTACTGGCATGCATTTGTTAAAAGAAAAATCAATCAGTTCTGGACAAAGATCGTAATCCAGATTAATCTGATGATTTTCAGTGCATCAGAAACAGCAATATTAAGATGAAAATGTGAACTTCTTGCTAGTTTTGAGCCTTGAACAGCCTTGAAAAGTGTTCGTTTTTGATGTCATGAGAAAATGTGAACTTCTTGCTAGTTTTGATAAACAGCCTTGAAAAGTATTCGTTTTTTTGTACTTGTACTTGTACTCACCACTCAGAAAAGCAATGACACAACGACACACAGAGGACAGGAACACCAGCACTGATGGTTTTCATTGTGTATTTACATCATCTGAAGACACTGGATTTCTTAGCAATGCGCCGTGGATCGTGTTACACATAAAAGTGACCAAATATGAAACTTCTTCAGCTTCGTACCAATGACCAAGTGGAACAGGTTGCTATGCATATTTTGATTTTATTTTAATTTTTTAAAATCTTGTTGAAGCCTGTCCGTGGATATAAACACATACACCATATACTGTTACAGTAATTACTGCTGGTAAACAGCAAGAGTGACCAAATAAATATGAAATAATCTTAGTGTAAATGTAAACTACACAAGATAAAACTATTAATGGGGTCAAAGCACATAAATACATAACCACTGCTAATGTATGTACATTATAAAAGTCTAAGGTTGATTCCACAACCATGGTGTTATTATTTTTTTTATATTAGTGTTTTAAATAATTTTATTCTTTGGCAGATTTTGATAAATTATATTTGTGATATAGACTTAAAAGACAAAATGAGTGAATAAAAAAACACTTCAGATATACAGCATGATCCAACAATTGAAGCAGGTTGCCATCGTGTGTGTGTGTGTATACATTCAGCCTTTTCTTTAATTCCCAAAATGCATTGCTGAGCAACAAGTGGACAAAGTGAAGCCTGTGGTCAGTCTTGATTCAGAGATGCAGTCAAGTGTGACACCAGTGATGGACTGTGATCTGTTGCTGGTCTTCTTGTTATTCGTCTCCACCTTGCATGAAACAGCCTGTATTCGGTGAAGGACCGGGGAAAAACCTGCTACTGTAGCACACAGTGATATCAATGAAACCTTCAAGCATCGTGAGGAAATATGGAAGTGCAGTATCGAGCTCGAGCCATACACCAGTGCAGAACTGCTTGGACAGTAACACTGTAGACGTGGACATATTCACATCGAATCCCAATAAATAGAATATTAAACAAAGTTTCGTGAAGATCCTTAAGTCGGAGAGTTAGAAAAGATTGAGACACACTGAGCCAACGAACAATGAAGACGACCAATCGAGGAGTTGATCTCACTGTCGGTCGACGTTCGCCCCAAAAGAGCTGTGCACATTTTTTGAGCAATCATCGGGACTGCAGAAAAATACAGACTCATTTCCATGTAATGTTTGTAGCTTCTGTTGCACACATGAGATGCAATGAATGTCAGGACCAACAGGTGGCAACATACCATATTTGTCAACGTAACCAGGAAAAGGTAATGGTGACGTTCCACATATTGTATGTCCATAACTGGTTTCTCAGACATTCTACAGTGAGACAATCAATTTTTGTTAGAGTACTAGACAAGATGTAAGCAACATTTTAGCAGCCCTGACTGTCACAGCAAAACATTACGGATGTACATATAAACATAACGTGTTGAGGACATTTGTACACAGAGTTTATAATTAAGAGCTTGTCTTATGTTAGTACTTTTCCCAGGTATTGACCCAAGGAAGTGGCAAAAAGTTCCCAACCAAGATGGCAGCTTCTGGTACCAACTGTAAGTAAAAGCTTTTTTTTTTTGTTTTGTTTTGTTTTTTTCAAAACTACTTTGCTAGCAATTTGGTCATGTGGGATGTTGTACATTTGATTGTCCCCTGTGTTTAGCATTTAGCATTTACTTGGTTCATAAGGTTGTACTTCATTGAAGCTAGTGCAATAAAAGACCAACCCTGGCAACACATCGAACACATCACGCCTGTTTTGGTTTGGATATGGCTTTAGTCTCTGTGACCGTTTGCCGTTTCACAAGGCAAAGTGATGGCAGGGTTATACTGTTAAGCATTTGCTGATTGACAGTTGACCATTAGCTCTGTGTGTCCCAACCTCCCAAACATAGATCCAGCTTCTTCTTAACAGCTGCAATATTCTCTATGTGTGCAGTAGTCCAGAGATATGTGAAAACATGTTCCAAACATCAGTCCCAAATGTCGATTAGGTCTCGGAGAGAAATCCGATAATGAAGGTAAACTGCTCCTTACTCCACCATGAGGACGAACAGCATCATGCACCTCGACGCGTCACACACCGCAGCAGTTTTGAAGGCAGCCAGCATTTCTTATTTTCACCGTTTACTGGAGGATCGGGGAGGAGGTTACATGGCCAGTATGTGACGCTGCAGATCCCTTCATAAGCAAACTTAACAGAAAGGCACCGTTGATATTTGTCTGCGCTGAAATCTACCGTGAACCGTCGATACATACTGGAGTATGGCACTTTACCTACAGGACTTGTAACCTATTTACATTTTTTTCTTATAAAACTCTTCGAATGCTACTTCCAAAATAAAAGTTTCCATTTATCTTTGAAAGTCTTTCACAGCAAATAATTTATAGAAAATTAAGGTTTAACTGTGATTTTTTTTTCCTTTCTTCTTTTCCTCAACGCAGGGGGAGATTCTCAGCGGTTGTTGCACAGCAGCTGAATCAGGATTGTTGGTGGACACCGTAGACGTCACACTGACTGTTTGATAATGCTGGGTTAGTCCTGCTGCTGTCCGTAGCTCTGTGCAGCAGGGCTTCAGCGCCCTCTGTGGCAAAAAAGGGTATGTGTTCCTCCTGCGGTACCTCCATCACATCCACAACGCTGTCGACGGACTCCCCGTGATGCAGCGTGTGACCGTTGGGGACCAGTGGTGTTTCCGTGTTGCACTCACTGATGTTGTTGTCTGTGGCGTCGTGGTCACTCGTGACCTCATAGTCTACATCCTCCATGGTGAAGAGTGGGCTCGGGGGCAAGCTGTTGGCTACATGGCCGTGGTTGTAGTGGGCGGAGTTCCTCTTTTGTTCATCCCGGCTCGACGACTTGTGAGTCTGACGTGTTTTGGACAACAGCAGGGGGCGCTCCTCCTCACCGGAGGGGCTTAAGCCCACTGAGGGCACAGACATGGCCAAACTGGACAGCGGGGCGGACATCTCTGATGGCGGGGACATTGGAGTCGGAGGAGAGGTCACCGGAGACAGCTGAGTCACCGCAGATGAAAACCTTCAACAGAGACACAACCTTGACAGTCATTTGGGTAAAGAGGAGGAAACGTCACAGGGCTGCAGTTACATGGATGAAGGAAACGTGCTATTACAGAAGCACCAACAAACCAAAACCTCCACCCTGTGGTTATTTATTTATTTTTTTCTCTGTAGTCAAGGAGGTGTTTAGTGAGGTCATCGTGACCTTGACGTTTAACCTTTGGCTGCAAAAATCGAAACCATTAATCTGTGAATCCACGGCAGCATTTGTGCCAAATTTGAAAGGATTCTCTTAAGGGAAATTAATTTAGATAATGCATTTAGAAGAATGGTCTCAGTGACCTTTGACCTTTACATTTCAACAAGGTCCTCCTTTAATCCAAATGAAGGTTTCCTGAAACTCCTGTGACCTTTAGATGCTCTTCTTGCTGGAAATACTGTCCAACAGTAAGAAATAGAAATGTATAACGTTGTCCAACCTAAGGCCCGGGGGCCGGATGTGGCCCATTCAGCTTTTTAATCCATCCCGGGAAACGTTTCCAAATTTTATAATTTATTTATATTATCATTATTCTTCTGTCTTTTCTCTGCAATACCCACGTTTCCCCAATAGATGGCGTAGAAAATGATAATTTTAGCCATTTATCCTTTATGCATGACATCTATCTGCTCCTGACCCGCCCTCCTGTTCAATTCTAGGACAATTGTGAGCCGCGATTTAAAAAGTTTGCCCACGCCTGGCCTAGCCGAACTGGCAGAAAGGAAAATAATCATTTTAAAAAATGTTACTGCAATTATTTCATAATGATAAATGAAGATTTCTTTAAATTAAATGCATATTTTCTCAATAGTTCTGTTGAATTCTTTTTCTAGATCAAAGTCGACGTTTGGAGTTTTAGAGTACATACAGGATGCCAAGGTCAGTGTTGGCATTTGGTATTTTATTTGATAACTGTTGGTTGAGTTTAATAACGGTGAGAGCTCTGTCTTACGACGTAAAGGTAAAAATTTGCGTTACCTTGTACATTAAGGCAAGTCGCTGTCGGAGGTGAGTGTGTCTCGGCGCATCTTTGAGCTAGCACTTAAGTCTCTGGTGCCAGCAGTCGCATTCAGACGACCCCGGCCACCCTGTGAGGCACTTTGGCTCTTCTCCGCCAATGACATCACCGAGACAGACTCAGTGTCAGACAGAACCGTGTTGCTCCAGTCATTACTCCAGCTGCGGAGACAGGGAGGAGGGGAGGGGGGGGCGTTTATACGGGGCACGAAAGCAGACAGGCCTCCAGACCTTGATCACATCAATAGAAGGAGGTAGTTTGTTTTAGCTCAGAGACTGAGGACTCAGATGGATTTATGAGCCCTTCTACAGTTTTACTGCATATTAATCTGATCAGGGGAATTGCAGGTTAATCTGATTGGGTTGGTAAGGATCACTGGGGGATCAGTCAGTGTCTGATGTTTGATACACAGCCCCACATTAGACCTTCACATTGATCGAAATGTCTGGCTCTGTTCCAGATGGTGACGCCAGCGACACCTCTAGTACCAGGGAAGCTCACTGGAGTTAATTATTCTCAGCTTTTAATTGACTAACGGCTAAACTTCCGTGAGATAATTTCCAGAATGTGGTTGTATGAGGTGCTGATTCAGTCAGTGGTAATCACACTGCTATTTTAAAAACATTAACAAAATTATTGATTAAAAAGCGTATTGTGTCGGATTGTCAGAAATGACAAACCGAAATACAGCTGTTCATAATATCAAGGTCTTACTTAAAATGGACTGAGCAAAACTTTCTATTTACTCAATTGTCAATTTTGTTTTGCCAGCCCCTAGAGTTCAGCACTGGTACTGCACCTTAAGCCATCTTTCCACTTGGCTTCAGGAAGAAAAGCAGGGATTGGAATCTTTCCCTCTCCTATCGTGATAGATACGTTCCACCACAAAAAGGGAAAATCCGCGAAGTAGATGCGAGACAATTATAATATTTACGTATATATTTACTCTTTACGAACCTCCCCCACAGTTATCAACCCTCCCTAGACTGTATTACCCTTTCCCACATATGCACAGTGGAGTTGTAGAATGGCGACGCAGAGCGAATCGAACGAGAGAGTTGTCAACAGACAAGGGGAGATACTGAGAGATGCTACGATCCATGAGCCAATCAGCTTGAGGAACAGAAGAGCAGTACACCAGAGTACGGCTGGTACTAGCCAATAGCATGCTGTGTACGAGCTTGTCTAGGTAAACAAAGCTACAAGCGATCGCTCGCAACTGCACTTATCTCAATTTCACAACAAGTATCCACATTTTTAAAGACAAAACTTTTGGATGTATAATTATTTTATAATGTCTATTAGTTTGGGTTTATTGTATGTATAATTATTTTATAATGTCATTTAGTTTAGTTTTTTGCTATATTTCGCAATATAGTGAAATTATATATATATATATATATATATATGTATGTATATATATGTATATATATATATTTAATTTTTTATGGGGTGTCAAATCAATGCGTGACTTGGAATTAATTAATTTAGACACATTTAGAGCGTTTTGTTTTTTAATCGCGTTAATCAAATTTTTAATCTCTAACTTTGCTGTTGCTGTATGCGAGTAGCATTTTTTATAAAAATCCGTTTTTATGTATTGTGCTTGAGTTGTTGGGGGTGGAAAACAATGGTCAGTCACACCTGAAATGGACATTGATTGGCTGTCATTGTGTTTATGCTTGTTTAGCATAAACTGATAGGCTCCTATTGCGCTTGGGGGGACAGAGTAAAGAACGGTGAGGAGACGTGAAAAGGGAGGAGCGTGTGAGAGTTGTCCGTGTAATGCAGTGAATCCCAACCACTGTGCCGTGGCACACTAGTACAGTGGTGCCGCGAAAAATTATCCAATGTCCCAAAACTAGTATTTATTGCAAATAATTTTGGTGTTTGTCAAAGAGCAATGAAATCCTCTTCCACTAGGTGGCAGCAGACGGTTATTAAAACTAAGAAAAGATTTTCAGAGCTGTTGAAGAAGATCTTTGTGTCTTTCTTTAATTCCTGCCAGTATATCAGCGTTGTCTTCAACTAAACATTTCTTAGTAAATTTAAACCAGAATATTATTATATTTCATTATATATATTTTTTGTGAGATTTTTGTTCGGTGTTGTGCCATTGGGTTTGCCCTGATGATATATGCTGTATGAGCTGTGGCCCAAAAAAGTTTGGGAAACTCTTTTTTTTTAAAAGATCGGAAGTCATACAAACCCTATCTAGTACCAATATTGACCAGCCCATATTAATGACCTGCAAATCTTGAAGAGGCATGTTGGAGATCCGGCGTCCTCTGGCCGAGGCCGCCTGGTTGGGGCCAATCCCACCATTGGCCTTGATGCTCCTCTTGTTCCTCAGGCTCTGCCTCAGGCGGTCGTGGAGCTCCTTTCTCTGCCTTCTGTTTGTGAGGAAACAAAGAAGACAGTGAAGCAGCCCACACCAAACTGAGGGGTACACTAAAGGAGAGCCTGAATGATTTACCCCAAAAAGTCATCTGAAGTCATTACGGCTTGGCTGTAGTTTTTTTTTTTTTTTTTTTTTTCTTTGCCCAACCAGCATTTTTATGTTGTTCGTTCGTGTGGATGCTAAGTGGACTGAAAAGTGGGACCCACATAGGTTTGTTTGCAGGTTTGATGAGGGCCCCATATGAATTGCCCCTGTTGGGAAAAGAGCAGGGGGTAACTATGTGGAGCCCTCATATGTTTCCTGTTCAAACCTTCTCCCACTTTATAGCCCACCTAGACTCAGACCCACATGGCCATGCTGGCTGGGTTATAGTAGCTTCATATTTTATTTTGAAATGGAAATATTGAGGGAAATATAAAAAAATACACTTCAAGGTATTGTTATTGTGTCAAATAGCACCACAGCCTTTTATTTTAGTTTAACTAGATTTTCATTATGCAGATGACGCTTTCGATTATATCTGTGATTACAAACTTATAGTAGCAGAAGTCTTATTTTTATTATATTTTTTTATATTATTATATTTAGAAAAAGAAAATGAATAAGGTTGAATGTTACTACAGGTGGATAATTAACTGACATGATGCTAATGTAATTTACAAACTGGTTGATCTATGGTTACATTTTTGAAAAGGATCTCTATGTCCCAGCTACACATTATACTTGTATGACTTATATATTTTTTTTGTGTCCTTAACTTAGGACTTTTTTTGGACTGATGTTGAATTTGGTCTGGAGTAAAGATTTCCTGGTCTTTTGTTTTGTTTTTGTTTGTTTTTTTTAATAATATCGAAATGTAATCAAAATCGATCAGTCACATGAACGTGACCTTTAACTTGAGAGATGGCCGTTTGCAGTGACAACCGTATATATCTCCTGTGGAAAAGGTTAATCTGATAGAGTTGACTACATTGACTTAAAGTTTGTTTTTGTTTTTTTTAAATAATGGTACACTCTCTGCTTCCTTTCGCTTTAAGCCATTTCCGACAGGAAGTCAAAGTGTGTTACCTTGTAAACCCTTCACTCGCTCAAACCAAGGTCCTTTTAGCATTTTACGCTAACAGAACATGCGCATCACTGGTATTATGCTGCCTTGAATATAATAATAGTTATTAATTTAACTGTTTTCATTGAACATAAGTGTTACTACCGAAGGTTTTATTTATTTATTTATTTTGGGGGGGACTGCCATTAGACACAATAATAACACCGGGGGTGTATCTTTAATTGATGAATGATGAGACATAAAAATTTGACTTGAATTACTTTGTTTTGCAGTAGGCAACCACACACATGATTCCAACCACTAGGAGCGCAATGCAGATTCCTGATATTGTTAAAATACGTTTCTGATACAGCTCCTCAGCTTCTGAAAAAGAGGAGAGTCCACGCTTAAAACTGGGTCTGGACCAAACACACACGCACACAGATACAAGGATAGAGAAACAGAAAAGCACAACCATAAACCCAAAGAGTAGGACGCTCAGACCTGCCTCCCTATGGCCAAACGCTGCAATTACGATGGCGCTCAGTAGTGATTAGCCTAAGGTTTCAGGTCAGACTGACCAAACCACGGGTCATCAGCAGTTAAGGTGGAGCTGGGGTGACTAGGTGTTACACTGTGTGGTCAGTGAAGGGTGGTTTTCTGGAGGGAGGCAGCTGGCATGTTATTAAGGGCTGATTTTTTTTTGTTTTTTTTTGTGACACTTTCAGCCTTGTAGAAGACTGAATGTAGAACACTACACTGATCTGAGAGAGTAACCAAAAAAAAAAACTTCAATAAATCACAGGTCAAATAACCTTGTAATTTCCTCTATAGATGGTGTAGAAAATGATAAAAGCATTTAAACATTTTAGACTTAGTTCACACGAACACTCAATCTATCTGCCCAATTTTTCAATTTTAGGAGTATCGAGTCACAAAGTTTGCCCACGCCTAGCCTAGCTCCATCATCACTGTTTGTCATACGTTTTTCTTTGTCCACTGTTTACCCTTGTTCTTGCCACCTGGCGTCTCCTCTGGGGCAGATTTGTAATGTATGTCCCGCTCCAATGAAGGGTAACTAAAACATTTAGGTCACTGTGAATTGTGCTGTTCCGATTTGGGCCACTACTGCCTGCAGTGAGAATGTAGTCTTGGACGTGCAGTTACACTTTAAGCACATAGTCAGAAATAAAACAACTGGGTCACTGAGAATTTGAAAAAAATGCAGATGTGCAAACTGGATCAAAAATAATGGTTTGAAATGGAAAATCAAGTGGAAATGCACTAGTACCTAGGAACATGCACGTTTTGTAAATGTATAAACACAAGAAGAAGAAAAAAACCCCCACACCAGCATGCAATAGGTTTGAAAGAAGGACAAAGGGATAAATGCATAAACCATCAATCTTTAAAATAAGAACCATCCTAAAGCAACAGGGACAGAGATCCTAGGAGAACATGCTGGGCTCCAGCAGACTGAGAAGAAAGTAGACATACTGTAAAAGCTGGCCATTACATAGTTTTGGCAGCGATCACCGGTAAATTCATTGGGACACCTGAGCAGGAAATAAGAGACAGAGAAGAGCAAAGAGAAAGGGAGTTAATTCACACATGAGTCGTGTAAAATCCCACAGCAGTCATCACTGGTGTTGGCAGGAAGGGCTGGCTGTCGTCATGTCGATCAGCTCAGACCTTCACGGTTGGGGTTTACCGGATGACCCTCGGTTAAAGGCGAGGGCATCGGGAAACTGATCCAGTTTTCACAGTCTTAAATGTGGTCTCATCAGCAGGCTGAAATTTGCATGTATCTGGAGCAGAGAGCTAGTGGGAGTCCTAGCTCTGCAGCTGCAGCAGGGAGCTCCACATCCACATCTCCTCTGCGAGGTATTTTTGAACAGAAAGTAGGTCAGGAGATTTTTCGGGCCTGTCAGACAAGAGTGGGACTGCAGTTTGTTCACGGAGGTTTACCTCTGGAAATGTGTCACACAGTTCACTGTGCTGCAGCAAATTAAAAAAAAAACAATTTCACGGTCCTCTACTACACACTTCTGAACTTTAAACAGTAAACTTTAACTTCAAACTCCTGCTAGACGAACTACCACTGCACTATGACATCGTGAGATTATACCAGTACTTCTCAAATAGTGGGGCGGGCCCCCCTGGCAGGTGCATGGTAAGGTGCCAGAGGGAGCGTGAGGGTCTTCCAGTGGAATATGGCACACTGGACATAAGTGTACCACTGCTGTAATGCTTGAATGATAACAAGCCTCCAGACACTAGGTGGCAGCATGTAAACTTTATTCGAAAGACACAACCTTCCTAGCAACCCTCCAAGCATTATGGGACATTATGTCCCCCTCATTCACTGATATTTCTCTGGAGAATATTCTGGACAATATTTGTTCTTGTTTTGGATTTTTGACATAAACAAACATTTGCGAAAAGCAAACATATATGTCAACTCCAGTCTATGTAGGAGGGTAAACTTGAAAAAAAAAATTTTTTTTTTGAACAGTTCTCCTTGTACAGTTAGGATTAAATAAAGTAAACGTGCAATCATGAGCTAACTTTGGACAACTGCGATTAATCGCGATTCAATAAAAAGCTTTGAAATTATTGCTCAAATCATACCATTAACAAGTTGACCGCCTGTTGTCGTCACGTGGTTAAAAATGTATTTTTTTGTGGCTTTGAATGTATTTAAACGCATCTAATCAATCTGTTATAACGTTTATATATTTATATATATATGCTGTTATATATATAGATTTTTTTTAATTGATATTTCAAGAAGTGTTAGTACGAGACAATGTCACAATTGCAGATTCACATGATCTTACTCTGATGATAACTACACCCATGCAGTACAAACGCAGTACAGTAAGTACATTTAGATTTGTAAAAGCCAACCTCTGTGTCTGTCAAACCATTAAAAAAAAAAGATTTTTCTTTACAGCATTTCTTCTCTATAACAAAGCATTGACGACTCAATCAGAGTTCACGCTTATCTACAGTTACTCTCTAAAATCACACTCGTTTGGACGCCGGAAAAACCCCAGGATATTCTACTGATTAGTTTCTGATAAAATGAGGATGAGGGTTAATGTGTGTCTCTCTCAACAGCACGGATGGAGGGAGATGAGATGTGGAGTACATGCAAATTTCAGTGCCCGACTCCTCCGAGGAGAAAGTGCTTAAAGCCTACAGACTGGACCTAGAGCCCCGGGAGCAACAGCTCAGGTTTCATCACCGTGTCTGGGGAAAACATGGATTTTCTGAGAAAAGGGTGAAACACCAGCAATGACATGTGTGGTTGAGTTCAGTCGTGTTCACATACGTTTTGGGTCTGAGACTGTCTTAAGCACAGCTTGTTCACATCGGTGCCCAGTGAATCCAGCCAAGCACCTGGTTGATGGGTAGAGAGGGACAAGAGATAAACAGCACTGACATGTAAGACACGTGGACACACGGGGACAAACACACAGACATGACAACAACAGGGACACGATCCAAGACTCAGCTGGTGCAGGACAACAGGTGGGGATAAAAAAAAAAAAAAAGAAAAGGTGATTGTCATGGAAACAACAGCATCTGGTCCCAGTTAGCCAAAAACACATACAACATCACTTCAATTTGACTGTCGCTACAGAAATGTATGGATTCAGTGTGATAAGAGATTGAGCTTCAATAAACAGTGTCAGTTGCCCCCTCTGACATATTTAGGTTTATCTGAAGCCACAATTACCCCATTTTCTTCACAGCTTTTTATCGCTCTTTAAACAACAGCTAACATTCTTTTATCTTCGACTGACTATTGGAGCCAATCCCAGCAGTCACTGGGTGTGGGCGGGGTTATGCCCTGGACGGTTTCGCATTTACCAATATCTCTAGCAGGTAGCTAAAGGTTATATTTAGCTGTGTCACACCTTGTCTTGTGAAGCCAAAAGCAGTTGTGATCACCGCAGTGATCGAACTGTGTCCAACTGCACACTCGTCTTTGCCACAGCACTCCAGAAAGACAGTTTAGGCCTGAGTGTACATAGATGAGTAGGGGTCACAAAATATTCTGACGCTACGCTGTAAGAAGCGCAAGTGTAAAAAATGGCATGTTTACCACACTAACGCAGTGGTTCTCAAACTGTGGTGCGTGTACCACTGGTGGTACATCAGTTTATTCCAGTGGTACATTAGGGAATCTGATTTTCATTAGCACCTGTGCCTAGTACCTGGGGAGACATGGTTATATTTAGCTGTGTCACACCTTGTTTTGTGAAGCCAAAAACAGTTGTGATCACCGCAGTGATCAAACTGTGTCCAACTGCACACTCGGTCGTCTTTGCCATAGCACTCCAGAAAGACAGTTTAGGCCTGAGTGTACATAGATGAGTAGGGGTCACAAAATATTCTGACGCTACGCTGTAAGAAGCGCAAGTGTAAAAAATGGCATGTTTACCACACTAACGCTAGTTCCTGGGGAGACGTGAAAAGCTCTCAATTGTTACTGTCAGAGGTCAGAGGTCAGAGGTGGCTAAAGGAGCCCTTCTCCTCTGTTTTTCTGTTTTGGAGATTTTTAAGATTGAATTATTTTCTACAAAGACCATAACTTTATATCAGGAGTAGGAATGAAACTCAGAGGCTAGTTCAGAGGCTACCTCAGGTTTTTATAACTCAACAAAGAGGAGGTTAATTTATTAAAGTTGCAGGTGTACTCCATGTTAACCTTTTGTCAATTCATTTGTACTACATCTTATTTCGTAACCCGATGAAAATCGAAAAAGAAGTCCATTCAATAATGGAACATTTCTAACAGAATTGGAATTGGTGAATTCTAATCAATGCCCATCATAAATGAGTAGCTGAACCATTTCCAGAGGACACTGGCCTTTCAATAAAAATCCATGAAGTGCTGTAGCTGGTTGAAGAGCCCTGAGACCTCAGTCCTTCACTCACACTCAGACCTGCAACAAAAAGCTACTGACGGTGTGTCTGACCCTGGAAAAGGGTCAGTTCATCCATCACACACGCCTTTGTGTAGGGGTAGAAAATGGGTCTGTGTCATCCATCTTTGTTGGTGGTCTTTATTTATAGGCATTGATTGTCTTCACATACAGCTACTGATTATGTCCAACATATATGTAGTATATATATATATATAGACATAGTATTTGTCAAAAACATACCGGCAGAGGAACTTTGTGCTGCCTGGTGTGATTTCAAGGGTGAAACACTCTCCTCCGTTGACGCAGTAGTTCTTCTGGCTGTCGCTGCAGCGGGTCACATGACTCGAGGTCTTGCTCGTGGTGCTGGTAAAAGCTGTGGACGATACGGGGACATTGTCACGAACCCAACACACAGAGTGTCCTTATGTCCTACTGTAAATGCATCTCCAATGACTGAACTAGTACAAGTGTGTGTGTGTGTGTGTGTGTGTTCCACGGAAATGTTTAATATTTTTTGTGTCGTGTTGGCTCCTGTTGTAGTGATACCAGAGTTTGAAGAGTAACCCTGACGTGTGCTGCTAGGTTTTATTGGTTTGCCTTTCGGCAGGAAAATGATATGTACTAATTACATGACATGTTTGTTCTAGTACCAGAGCAGTAACACAAAGGCGAAGAAGGAAAACAGAGGGAAGGAGATGAGAGACAAAGAGAGGAGGTATGTGTATTAAACGTATATATTAATCAGTTTCTTTGATTGTCTCCTGAACTGTCGCATTAATACATATAACTTCAAAATGTTGGTTATGTATGCATGTATACATGTATGTATGTATATATGCATACATATATATGTATGTATAAATACATACATATATATGTATGTATGTATACATACATTCAGATATATGCATGTATACATACACATACAGTACATGTATGTATACATACACACAGATATATATATATATATTTATATATATATACACACACAATATATATATACACAACCAAATGTGACCTCTGCTTTTAACCCATCACCAAAGTGAACAGTGGCCACGTTTAAGTGTCCGGTAAGTGCCCATGTGGGGGTAACCAGGCAACTAGTATGTATACATATCCATATATATGTATGTATGAATACGTACATACATATATATGAACACATATGTATGTATGTATAAATACATATATTCATATGTATGTATGTATCAATGCATATACAGTATATGTATATATGTACATATATATATATACATACATACATATATATACACGTTTGTATGTATGTATAAATACATACATACATATTCTCATTCCTTTTCACAAATGCAGCTCAGGGTCTACTCAGGACGTCATCACTGACACTGACTCGCTGTGGTGCAGTGAATACTGCTCAGCCAGCCTGTCTCAGCATTACTCAGCGTTTCCCCGTTCTGCATCAAACGGCAGCCTATGCTCATGAATGACAGATACAGATCAGAACAGCTGCCGTACTTCGGCTCCTGCACGTTTCTATCGATCGTGACCTCCCGAACGACAGCGTTTGGATTGACGGTGTCCCGTACACGGCGGCACAACGGCGAGCAGAGAGCAAGGACGCAGCTGGAGCTCATCCAGCAGCCTCATTTTATTTGACTCCTCTTTGAGCAGAGCCCGGGCTAAAAAGTGCAAAGCTGTGACTATGCGGCAGTGGATGATGTTCCTATCAACTGCTGTCAAGGACAAAGCAGAATCCTCACTGCACCAGGAGGGAATCTGCCTCTGCAGTCACGTCTGTGAAGGAGAAGGTGACCGGGGCAAATAACCACATCCTGGGTTTTATTTTTAGATTAAAAAAAAAAAAAAAACACACTCTCCGCTTGTTGTCTGCTCTCGGTAAAGCTCAAACATGTCAGCTTTTAGTGCTCATAAATGAAATGTGATTTTTGCAAACTTCCATTTTAGAGGAATAACTGCGAACTATAAGGCAGCAGCGGCCATATTTGGAGGAGCATGGGTGGGGCCTGACTGAGAGCATCACTGACTGCATAGCCCCACCGCTGGGTTCTGACCTATTTATGTACAAAATTGACTTTTCATTAAAGTTCCATTAAAGACAGGGGAGGGAGCGACTGAAACCATGAGTGGTTTTCTCATGAACACAGATGCAGACTAGAAGTCACTCCTCACAGATGTTTAAATATTTCATACAGTTCCACACCAGCATCAATATATATGCACTACTAATCGGCAGCCATGTTCATGAGAACGTGACTTAGCACCACTTCAGCAAGACAGAACTTGGCAGCACTCGTCACGGTTACACATCGAATGCCCCGAACGTGACTTAGCACCACTTCAGCAAGATAGAACTTGGCAGCACTCGTCAAGGTTACACATCGAATGTCTGTACGCAAACCAACAGAGAGGAATACACAATATAAGATTATGTGTTTAGAAAGCAAAGAGATTTAAAAAAAAAAAAAAAGGTGAACTGAGGCAGGAGGTGACCAACATGACAAATGATCTAAACAAACTGTGTACACAGAAGGTACATTCCATATACGCATACTATCCCAGGAAGTGGGCTACATGTGGGCATCAGCATAGGGGTCTATTTGTACTGTTAAGGACAGAGGTGGATGAAACACACATTCTTATCATGCAGACCATAGCAGAAGTCATTGGACCTTAAAGTGTGACTCTGTCTCTGTGTCCATTCTATGTTGCAGTCTGGACACATGTAGCTGTGTGGTCCCAGTGATTTGGACACACCAAAATACTGTTCACAGAGCACTTCAGTTTGAAAAAGACAGCATAGGGGTGCACACATGAATGATGACAGTCGGACCAACTGGACCATAGAAAACACAACGTTTGTGTCTGCAGTCTCTGATGATAAATTGTCTCCGGCGTGGAGTATCGCCCAAATGTTTTAGAGGCCTGTCGCCTCACGTTTAAAGCCAAATTAAGAAATCTTTAACACAAAATACGCCTCACCTCGAGCACCAGAGTGGAAGGTGCTAGCCAACCACATCACGTTATTGCCAATTTATCTAACCTCCCATCTTGGCTATCTGTTTATTGTAGCAACAACCTGTGTGAGTTGATTTACACGACAGAAATGGTAGGAGGGAAACAGGAAATGGAGGTAGAGGAAGTTGATGAACCATGAAGGTTGTTTCTCATGTTTGTTACCACAACCTGTAGAAACAAACATGGACCATTTCAAATGGCTACATCAGCTTCAAACCCAATCTCATAATAGAAGTATTTTCTATTTCTCAGCTACTGCCAAACCAACGACAAAACATTACAGGAAAAGTACACGCATTTAGTGAATCGTGAAGTATTTTAATGGACCCGAGTATAGAGTTTTGCCACGCATTTGAGATGCAGGAGACAACAATGAGTTTTTATACGATGTTTGCACTGTATCACGCCATGCGAAATGAAGCTACTGTAAGCGACACTCAGATCAGACATTAAAACTACCGTGTCAAACATATCCCGCAGACACTCTGCAGTCTTTGAGCTAATGTTCAGACAAGAAGATTTATTGAACAGGAAATTAATTTGTACTTTAGCTCAGCTTTTTGTTTCATCAAGCCTTCACAATTTTATTTTTTTTTAGAAGGATTTATTGGGTTGTGTCATTTTGCTGCTGGCCATTATCCCATTAGGCAACATTTGTTGTTGTACAAAAGTTATCTAAACTCTCCTCAGGCGATAGACTTTCAAGTTTTATGACCTTTCAACACCATTTACATCAAGTTTTAGCGTACACATTCTACCAGACATCTGGTCATACATTATTAAGTTTGAACACGTACATATTTCATGGTGCAAAGACGGAGTGTCAGAAACGCCGCATCGGTCCCAGCTGTTGTCCTGACTGAGAGCTGAGTCTACTTAAATACGCACGCCTCCATCAGGAGATAAATATACGTTAAGACCGCGGCGGATGCTGCTAAACGCTGTAAGATGATGTGCTGCTGCGTGCAGCTCATCAATACTTCATTCATTGTTTAAAGATCCTCATAACGCTAAGGCCCTTCTCATTAGCCGACCCAAAGTGCAGAGACACGTTGAAACCGAAATGACAAAGTGGAAGAAAATCAGTTCGAAGATACGTAATGACATACCTAGCAACTAGGGGAAGATTTAAAAAAAAAAAAAAGAAAAAGATGAATGTACTGTGGTGAGTGCTATTATGTCCGACCAAGGACCAATGAAAGTCAAAGCCATTGTGGATGCATTAGGCAAATATACATGAAAGCTACTGCCAAATACGTTGACAAGATTTTTTTTAAACGTGTTATCACATTCTGAATGTAAGTCATTATTAATCTCCAACTATTTTTTCATTATTCACTAGAAGGAACATTGACCTCTCGTCTTGCTAAACTAGAATTAGCCTAGTCAGAATAGTTTGCATATATGACTAAATCTAAAAATGAAATTATCCAACATCTCTAAACTGTTCACTTCAGTGCTACAGTTACATATTTCTGGCAGTTGCTGCGGCTCATCTTGAATGTTATATTGATAGACATAAACATGTCTGAGCTGAGAACATGTCTACGGTGGAGAAAATGAAATAAGATGAATGCTTTAATGTAATTAGCGTTAGCATGTGCGTTCAAGGGCCTTTGAAAGGCACAGCAGTTACGGTTGTACCAGCAACTTGCACTTTCTTCTTTTACAAACCAGGACAAATCATTGTAAAAACTATGAATGAAACAACTCAGTAGTTGTAATCCTAAAGGCTAAGACCTGAGGAAATAGTTTCATCAGTCACACATGGAATGTTCTGGATGTTACTCATACTGCTGTTTCATCAGTCACTACTACGATATTCTGCGTATGAATCAGTAATACTGACAGACTAATCATTTTACATTCGCAAGACAGAAAAGTGAGTTCTGTGCCAGCTAGGCTAATCCCACTTTAACATCAGTAGTTAGCTTTTTTGATCACATGTGATCAGAAATGCTTCTCTCACAGCTTTATAGCAGTGATTGATCTTTAATTTTACCACGATTGATGTAAAAATGTCTGACTAGAGATGGCGTTAAAAACGCTACAATGATTAATCACTTTTTAATTTTCAGACTGGACAACTCCTACTTTCTTATGTTTTCACTTGAACCAATCAGGTTAGTGTGCAAAAGAGGCAGAAAGCAATTAGAGCTGGAAAAAAAAAATGTGGTCTCCTAATCGTTACTTCATTGTTCATCTCATGTTGCTTGTCAGTAAATGGTGAACGGAAGACTCTTTAGTCCCGGCCAGGATATCAACTGTCTACACCGGAAACCCCAAATTATTGGCTGTTGCCCCCGAGAGGCTAATTCGTTGCCACACGATAGCGGATGGACTCCGGGATCACCATGCTAACAGAAAAGGCTACTACATCGCTACATGCAGGCCAACGACCTCAGACAGATCCTTGAAGATTATTGGGCCGGATAAGGGGTGTCCATCTTGTCGGAACATGTGAACTGGTCTGGCAGCTTCTTAGGAGTACTGGAGCCTGAGGTTTAGTTTGTCGCCCTCTCCTGTTTAATTTCCTTCTACAAAAGTGCAGATGAAAATAGAATGTATTTATACCAGTACATATATTCCAATTGATTGTCACCGTAGATGCAAATCCAGATCTGTTTACATATACTGTAGTAGAATTTTTGGGGCTAAAAATATTCTTGGCATTTGTTCCACTGCAACCAATCACGTTAGAGCTTTACTCCGCGAAGAAAAAAACTTAATCCGAAGAAATGCGAAAGACTGTCCTGACTTATACTTCAGAGTCAATACTTATTATATACACCTTTTTTCTAATAAAGGTGAACCTGTCAAAATGTGTACCCCACTTCTTAATTGTAATCTTTTGAGTTTTGATCTGCATTTAAAATACGCTGATATATATATGTATGGTTTGAGTTTTGATCTGCATTTAAAATACAATGATATATATATATGTATGCATAATATGAATCATTGTTATTACTAGATTCATTTCAGAGCCATGTGACCAGAGCCATAAATTGTATTTATTCAGTCTGCAGACAGGAGACAGCTGCTGGAAGACATTCATTTTTTTGGCCAGTCACGAATGCTCTGAGACTTTTTAGATTAGAAGACAGTGTTGGCACATTAGAGTGCACTGGCTTCCACATTAGAGTGATTAAACCTCCTCTGATGGCTGATTCAGGGACTTCTGTTTGTTTGGGCCTGACAGTTTGACCTGAACGTGGACCACGGGACATTTGGCGTTTGGTATAAAAAAAAGAAAAGACAACACTCTTGGATTGATTGTATAAAGGCACCTGCAGCAGTGATAATTCTAATGATATATAATTGTGTGAATAGAAGAGACCTACGGTCTACCGTCCGATCAGCTTAAGCTAATCCTCTCCAGAGACACTGGTTGGGGCCTGACCTCTACATCCCACTTGTGTCACCTTCAATTAGCTAAACCGGATACAGTGTCATAAATCACACTCGCCGATGTGACTACAACAGAAATGTCGTGGCGGTGAGCCGCGGTCAGGCAGACAGTATTAGTGGGTTGTTTTTCCCAGTGGCGACGGCGGCGGGATGGAGGGGGCATCAATTAGCCTCCAGCAGTCTCTGACCTTGAAATGGAGCACCGGCAACAAACAGGAAGTCTCACTGTACCACCGTTTGTGTCGTGCATCATTTATTGATTTTTCACTTTTTTTTTCATGACTGGAAATGTGCTTGGGACGCGGCACATTGTGCACTTCACTCCGCCGAACTAATAAGTGCTAAAATAAAACCTTGGAGTGGCGTCCGTGGCTGTCGTAAATCACCAGTTGTACTGTAGTTCAAGGGGGTCATTAATACTTAAAGAGGAAGGGGTTAGAACACCACGCATCTGCTGAGTGTGGGTGTGAAGGAGGCCTGAACACACCTCTCTCTGTGTGGAGCAACATTTCTGAGGCTTAGTCATGGGCCTCATGCTTCACCCTGCGTGTCCTAACGTGTCCTGGACTCTCGAAAAACACACTCTTTTCTGACACTAATGACAGAACGCCGTGTTTACAATGACAACCTGGCTGCTTTTCTAACCCATTTCCTGCTTTTAAGTTTGTTAGTTTGTTCATTCCTATCACTGTGTGACTGTGGCCGTCTCTGCAGACTCTCACAGCCCAAGGTTAATCAGGTTTTCCTGCTTGTATCAACCTGTCTGAAGAGAAGAAAGATCACTCAGCGAGGAAGTATCGGGTACTTACAGATCGTTGGGGTGATAATGTCGTTGGATTCATGCGTGGGCTGCGGGCGCGTAGTCTGCTTTGGTGTGGCAGTGGTGCGTTTAGCGTTGTATTTCAGGGTAACGGTGGTGTCTGACTGAGTCACCAGCGGAGGCCGGGGCACGTACGGCCCACGTGTGGAGATCTCCTCAACCAGCACCTCAGGAGGAGCTGGGGTACCAGGGATGGAGGTGGTTAGAGACACGGTAGATGGAGAGTGAGGGACGGACACAGTCAGTCCTAAAGTGGGGTCAACTGATATGATAATAGGGTCTTGTCCGATAGGTTTGGGCTCCAAGTGTGTGGGGGGTTCGTACTCAAAGATCTTGTCCACGAACACCCACTTAAGGCCAGCGGTGCAGAGGGCCAGGCTGAGCAGACAGGCCAGGATCGGCAGGATGCAGATTTTCTCTGAGTGCAGGCAATTATTAATCTGCTCCATCTCTATGCACACGCAGCAGGTCCCTGGCAAGGCCACAATTCCCAAAGCACCCAGATGCTCCCCATCACCAGCTTCAGCACCTCCCTCTGCAGCTCCCTCAGCACCCTCTTCCTCCTCCTTCTCCTCTTCCTTCTCCTCCTCCTTCTCTTCCCCGCTCTCACCAGCTGCCTCTGTCTCCTCAGGTTTCTCCTCAGGGACTTGTCCAGTATCAACAGCGGAGCCGGTGGGGGAGGCCGATCCTGGAGGGGGAGCCGGCCCTGCGGAGAGGTCCTCCATTCCCTCAGTCATGCCGTCCAGCCGCTGGACGAGGGGTCTCGCTGCTCCTACGACTATTCACTCTGGGCATCGCACAGTGGCTGCCTGCCACCGGTCTCCTCCAGCACGGTTTCCATCACGATGAGGCTGCAGAGTCTGACGGAGTCGGAGTTTTCACAGGGGAAGCGAAGATGCTCAAACCTTGTTAGCAGGCAGGAAGAAGAAGGTACGCAGAGCCAAGGTGGAGTTCCTCACTCATGCTCTTCTCACAGGAAAAACTCAAACTCTGCTGCAGACACACACAAAAAAACTAAAAAGAAAACCAAACCCAAGGAAAAGCAGGGATTATTCTTTTCCTCACTTGTCAGTGAAGTCGTGGCGGAGGAGCCCTGAGAAGCTCACTCAGTCACTCACCTGGACTGGACTTCAGCTGAGGAGACGCCGTGGTGGAGCTGGGCCGACTGCAGCAGCAGCAGCAGCAGCAGCTGTGGTGGAGAGGACAGGACGGCCGGGCACTGCAGTGGCAGCAGGGACATGCCGTCTGGTGTTTGAGCTCTGCAGCTGAAAGGCTGAATCATCTGGGAGAGGCAGGTGCCCTTCCTCTAATAATAAAAGTATGAGTTCACACACTGAGCAACAATTTTGGCAACAGCAGATACAGGCTCCTTGGCAAAAAGTGAAAAGTGGGGGAGACAGCAGAGGGCAGAAGAGAGAGAGAGAGAGAGAGCAGGAGTGGAGGGAGGGGGGCTGCAGCAGCAGCAGCTCAGAAGGGCAGAAGAGACGGGATACTCCCCTTTTCCATCCTCCTCTCACCCCTCCTCTTGCAATCTTTCCTCTACAAGTGTTGGGCAGACCAGCCTGTGTGGCCTCCTCCTCCTCCTCCTCCTCCTCCCTCTTCTCCGACTCTCTTCCTGTCTCCTTCTTTGCTCCCAATCCCAGTACAAAGCATCCAGCTAAGCAAGTTCCTACTTGATCCAATTAGAGTGAACGTCAGCGAATCACAGGCCGACAAACTGCGGCGGCACCTCGCCCACCGGCCCGCCCCCCCCCCTTACAGAACCACTCCCCATTGATTATGCTGATACCAAAGGGTGTGTTTTCTGTCAAGGGGAAGGAGACATGTGATCCAGCCCACGAGGACGCAGCCATTGTGTCCTGCTGCGTCTCAAGTATCCGCATTCAATAATCTAACTAACTAGTGTAAAATGAAAACGTTGATAATGAACGAGACGGTGACACCGGTCAAACACGCACGTGCACACGTACACATGTTTGGACACTTTCCTCTGTCTCCATGTTGAACTTGGATGTACAGAGGCGCTGGTCCAAATAAGAAAGTTCAAGTTTTTACATACAACACAGAATTGTCTAAAACAGAGGTTTTTAATATTCTTATCTTGTGGACCTCCCTCTGAAGAATGTTTTTTTAGCCCCTCCAGTAACAACAGCAACAAAAATATTCAATTTAATTCTTCGATGAAAATGTGGAAATACAAAATTTAAATAATTGATTTCCGTACTCCCTTTTCCTCATTCGCAGCTCACACATCAAAAATAAGCTAGCAGCTAGCAACAAACAGCCCCGAGTGACTAATATGAAATCATATATTTCAAATATGACCCCACACAGAGTGTTTCTACTGTCATTTAGGTTTTGAAGTTGTATTGTTTAAAATCAAAGCCAACCGTGGCTAACATGTTTTAGGAGAATGTTTTAGATAAAACGGCTACAGGCTACATACAGGAAGTATGTAGCTAGCATCGAAAACAAAAACAGTTGAAATTCACAGTGAGCTAGCCTGTTCAGGTTAGCAAAGGGTTAGCTAAAATACTTAGTTAATGAAGAGTTGGAAAGAAGTTGCTAAAGATAGGCTTAAAAGTAGCTAGAACTTGAAATTTAAAAATGTGTTTGTTCTAATGCCAATATTATTATTATTAAAAGAACAAAGCTTGGTTGCCTTTTTGTGCAAGTGGTTGGTGTTGTTTTGCTTAAAATATTTGCTCAAGAGAAAAGAACCGGTAGGTAGCACCAACTTTAGCTTACAATATATTTCAACTGCCTTAAACATGTAGAAGACAGGGTCAGGATTGGCCAATGACATCAAAGACTATCAAAGCTAAACATTTAATTAGGGATGTCTGATAATATCGGTATTATCTGCCCGATGTTAGCAGAATTATCTGTAAGTATCAATATCAGCTTTTCCTTAGATAAAAAAAACCTGATAACGCAGTTCGTGGATTTTGCCAAATGGTTGATATCGCAATCGAAAATTAAATATTTGGAACATATCAGCAAACACTTTTCCGTAATATAGGTCTGTACATGTAATGATATTTAAATAAATAAAAATCCAAGTCTTTGCTGAATACAATTTCATGATTATTTGATGATGTAAGATACTAGCGGTAAAGATGTTTTTGTGACGTATTTTCCATCCATCCATCATCTACCACTTATTCCTTTTTCAAGGTCGCTGGGGACACTGCAGCCAATCCCAGCTATCTGCGGGCGAGGCTGGGGTACGACACGTGTTGGCCACTCCATCGCAGGGCCACATAGAGAGACAAACAAGCAGGTTTTTGGGCTGTGCGAGGAAGCTGCAGTACCTGGGGAGAACCAACACACAAATGCGGAGAACGTCCTAACTCCATACAGAAAGATCAACTGGGAATGGAAACTTACAAACGAGTGATCATCTTGCTCTAGAGGAAAGACCAACCAGGGATTGTAGAGGCAAGCGTTATACCAACATTTGCCACTGTGTGGCCAGTATTTTCCATTCATGTAATTAAAGGTTATGTACTACATAAAAAATTCAAAATAATCTGCATAAAGAGCAACTATCCACCCTAAGGGGCCCGTGCAGTTCGACCCAGGGTGCATCTGTGTCTTCTACCTTCATTCATAAAAGCCAGCCCCTCTCAGAGAATGACTGAAGGCCCCCAGACCACCAATAAAAACTATTAAGATCACAACCCCCTCCCCCTGGAGGCTAACAAGTCTCACAGCCCAGCGAGAGAAAGAGTCGGGGGCTTAAACAAGATGAAGAGCAGATGAAAGGTCAGGCGGACGCTGACACCTCGCTGACCCTTTCAATACAGAGACAGGATTAATACCAGTAATGGTATCTGTGCTGGACCACTTCCTGTCAGGCCCCTGAGTTAGGGACCTGATTATTGATCCTGCGCTCAGCGTTTCTGCAAACGGAAAACAAAGACCACGGCTGAGAGAAAAAAAAATAAACAAGCACCAGACTAAAGCAATAAATAGATTTTTTTAGTTCCCTTTAATCCTTGTTTTGGAAAGATAAGAACTATTTTGTTCCTTTTGTTTTTTTTCCCCCACAGTTTGGAGTTGTTCATTAAATTATCAAGGTTAGTTTTGTGTTTATTAATTAGCATTATATATTACATACACTTTTAAATGTTACCATTAAGTTTTTTAAGCTTATAATAAGCAGTGGTGGTTCTCATCAGAGTCGTCCTCAGGTGTGTTCCATGTTAACATATCTCTGTATTGTCTAACCTAGTCATCCTGAGTCACTCTGTGGACGTGAACGTCCACAGAGTGACTCAGGACAACAGATAACAAATCAGACCAGTGTTTGTCAGTCATAATTAGAGTTCAGTTCATTGACCAATCAGAGACAAAAACAGAGATGACATCATCAGACGACGGGATGGAGAAAATGAATGAGTTGGCATGTTGTAATGTTTCAGTTTCTGTGTCTGAAACAGAGAACAACAATCTGTAACTGAGGGGGGCTGATGGTGATGATGATAACAGGCAGGAGGAGGAGGATGAAGATGATGATGACGACAATGATGATGATGTTAATGGTGAGATTGTTGATGGTGATGAGGACTACAATTAGAGTTTACATGTATAGCCACATATACATACTAATATTAATAATTAATTAACTAACTTTCTTATTTAATTAACCCAAATTGTATTAACTTTTACTAGGTAATTTTTTCATTGTCTGTCTTAACTTAAACAGAATCTAAACGTTTCTCGTCATTTTTTTTTTCTAAATGAATGTCTTTGTCTACTGTGTGATTTTTGAATACCATCTAATTAAAGGTTAGACTCAGCACTGAAAATGGGTTTTCATTTTTCCTATTTTTTAGATTTAAGTTGATCTTATATTAATAATGATAATACTAAATAAACCCTGATTTTCACTGAAAATGTGTTCCTTAAAAACGTCTATTCAAGCAACAGTATCGTTTTGGTTTCAGAATGAAACCAGTTTGTGGCTGCGTCACCATGTCATCATCAGATGATCAGTGGTCAGTTCATCTGAGCATGCGCTGCGTTGGTGTCTCTGATTTTATTAGCAGGAGAGAATAACGACATTACTGCGCTGTGGCACTATTGTCTGACATCATAGTGATGTCATCATGACCTTGACCACTGAGCACTCGGCTCCATTTCATCTACTGGAGAGCACCTCTTGGCACAGGTGGGATCAAGTCTTTGTCCTCAAGTCCCAAGAAGAATGACCACATGTCCTGCTTTACGCTGTAGGAATTACACAGCAATTTTAGCCTTTGTCCCGCGTCACGCAAAATGAAGATTTTGTCCCGCTTTTTTATTCAACAATACTTAATTGAAAACAAACAATTTTATGTGTCTGGCTGTCTATGGCGCCCATGTGCAATGTGCGGGAAAAAAAGAAGACGCCACCTTTTGGCTGGGACGGGGGGATGCTGATTCTGAACCAGCATTCTGCAATTGGTGTTCACACAATGGTGTAAAAACGGCTTTTCTGTCGGACCTGGTGTTGAATCTGATGGGAAACGACACGCTGCACGTGAATCTCACACAAGAAGTACACAACAGAAAACATCCAACAGTGTGCAGTATTTTTTCTACAAATCAAATGACACAGAGTCGGCTAGAATTACTGCAGTAGATGTTACCAGTGTCCATCACGCATCATTTTGGTGATATTTTTAAATCATCAGATATGACTGGTTTTGGAGGTTTTAGCACAAATGATTCTCTTTGCAGCATTTTGCGGCATTTCTGCTACTTTTTTTTTTTTTTTGTATTTTATTGACCTTTTATAACAAATTCACACATGGTGGCAAATCTTGGAGGATACACATGCATTCTAAGATTACGCTTTTTGCATTTTTTCAAGAAAGTCACATTATATATGTATACATGTCATCATAAAATATGTTAATTCTTTGTATGGCACAATATGACAATTTGAGGAATTTCAGATCAAATGATTTTGATGACTTATAATGGACCAATAATGGTTTTATTGCATTATTTTATTTTTGGTTATACAATGCCCTTCGCTCTTATTTATCTATTTGTCTTTTCTCTATATTTTAATTTTATATATTTTAATTGGTTGTTTTCATTATATTTTCTGCCTGTTTGCACCTGGGGTCAGAGAGAACTGTAATTTAATTTTATCTCTGGCATATTCCAATAAAGATTTGCCTTCCGATTTTAAGGTATAAACTTGTATTTTAAAAGTGTTTTTTCTGTTTTGTTTTTTTCTACAAAATATTTTGTGTTGTTTGATTTTTTTATTTTGGGATTTTTAATTTTTTAGAACTAATTTTACAGCAT